CCGCCGACTGCGGGCATCTCTTTCGCTGGGGTGTGTCTTCACTTATGTTACCCCCCCCCTCGCCCCCCCCCACCTCTCCATAGAATGCAGCCCACTCGAATCTGTAACAAAATTCGAGTCGATCACAGAGCTGGTTCATCCAAACACTGCTCGCAAAAATCGATCGAATCAACCTCGACCCACTTCTTACTCCACGTTTTCCCGCTGCTCGGGTAGTTCCGGGTTTGAACTTCGAAATTTTTACTTGGTCCCCTACGCACAGACAAACGCCCGCCGACTGCAATCTGCCGGGCTCTTTCCAACGCCCAGTTCGGGTGTGTCTCCTTCTGTTTATCTACCTGCCCACTTTTTACTCGAGTCCGTTTTCCCGCTGCCCGAGTAGTTCCGGGTCTGAATTTTGAAGATTTGCGTTAGGCCGTTAGGCCCCGCCCGCCCGAACAAACGCCCCGCTCACTTCGGGTGTGCCCCCACGCCCATTGTGGGTGTAGTCTAACGTGGTGCATAGAGAATGATTTTGTCCCGGGTCCCCGTTATCTTCCGAAGGAATTTACGAATTTTTGTCGTTGGCATTACTCACTTCGGTGCACGCCCCGTTTATTGTGTGCGAGGCTTGGTTTGTGACTTTCAACATGCCCTCACGCCCCATCCCAAAGAGTTGACGGCTTTTAAGTGTTTTGTTGACAACGTTTCAACAGACACCGCTCAGCTATAGCAAGGCCGACCGCGCCCCATTGTGGCGGAGCCTATTCTCCTTAATTGGCCGTCCGTTCCGGCGCGAACACAGCAGCATACAAACACATCACACACAAACACACAGGGCGTCGCACACACAACTTCTGCTTTATATATAGAGAGGATAACATATTATTGGAATAAAATAAGTATGAAATACAAGCAGGCAAAATCCTGCATTTCTTTTGCAACGACCTAATAATATGCTCTTTAATATGGTAGTGAAAATGTCCGATGAGAATTCAATAATGTGTAATTTATAGCGCATCGAAAGCCAATGAAGAAAAGTGACTTTTTTTGCCCCCCCCCTGTATGTTTTTGGATCAGGGTCCTGCGTGGGACCTCAACAGAATCGTCCTTACAAGGGAGGTCTTTCAGGTCGTGCCGCGCTTTTTCAAAAATGGTTTGTTGCTTGTTGTAGGGGTCCATACAAGGATCACAAAAATGGGTTTCATGTTTGCTATGCGTTTCTGGGGAGGTCAAAATTAAATGGAAAGGATTTGACAAAAATGGGCAATTTTAACCATCTTAGTGGGCTCCGTTTCGAGTAACTTCGACCATGCATAGTTTATGAGGTGCTTGTTAATTACGGCTTTCCGAATAGCTTCAAATTAAATAGGTAATCGTATAATTGGTACCATCCAGATCCATCGGTTATGCCGTTGCGCTCCGAAAAAAAAAAAATCCGCCGACAATGAGCATGACGGGACTGCTGACATAAACATCACTGCTGCGTCGGTGCATGCCAATTGAGTTACTACATGATACTTACATTTTGACTTCATTTGAAACCATTTTTGAAGCCTAGTTAACGAGCACCTCATAACATATGCATGCTCGGAGTTACGGTCACGGGGTCCACCAAGATAGTTAAAATCGCCCATTCTTGTCGAATTTTTCACTCAATTTTTGACCTCCACAAGCGCATAGCAAAAATAAAACCCATTTTTAAGACCCTTATATGGACCCCTACAAAAAGCAACAAACCATTTGCAAAAAGCGCGCCACGAGCTGAAAGACCTCCCTTGTTAGTTGTAGAGCTTGGCCTTTGTCGGGTAGGGACAAATGTGAGTTACAAAACCTTTTTGAACCTGATCAGGGCTCTCAGATAAAGGAAGCGGCAAAACATGTGCTGCAGATGAACAAGGTATGTGCTTCCTAGAAAGGCTTGAAACTGGTTCAAGCGATTCAGAGATGGGTATTCGGGCCTTACGAAAGTGCATGGCATGAAGCTCCCTCTTGGAGATAGTCCGCCTGTAGATCCCTTTGACCAATTGTTGAACCTGTTCCACCAAGTGCAGGTGATGATCAATGAGAACGTGCAAAACCTTCACGGCATCTATCATTTCCCATTTTTTGGCATGCATCTCTGTGAATAAGGTGATTAAGTAAGCTCTCGGTAGGACTCAATAGAGCATTAGGTTTTAAAGCAAACTTTATAAGTTTTGCATGCAACTCTTCTGACTTCGAAGTGATCTGTCAGTGCAAACGTGGTATGCAAGAACTTGTTTTGAAGTGTTCAATCGTTTACTGGAGACCGAATACGTGACTCACTTGTGCATCTCCTCGTTTTGAGTACAAGTCTATCCTCACAACATGTTTTATTCATAACATCCTATATCAGACACTAAGCAGTTGCTTAGCACGAAGGAAGAAATACTCAAACGTGAAGTGCTTTAGCAATACTCAAACATTTCCCAGCCTAATAAGGCTAGCAATGTCAATCTTTCTAAAAACCACAGAACAGGCCTGGTTATGAATAAAATGATTTTCCTATAAAACAGCATTCAACTCAGACAGCATCTGCTGCTATCTCATAGAATGAGCTCGTCTCCGGAAAATGGTGCAGTTCAGTCGCCGACAAATGCACTCGAAGCCATCTCTCGGTCTAAAACTGTGGTTCTGTATTAATCGTCTTTGGAGCAGTGCTAGGATTCCCATTAGGCGTCACAGCCCCATGTCGCCTTTGCATTCCCAGTGTCCGGAGTGCCTCACGTTGGATTGTGCGGTTCAAGAGCAGGTAAACGAATGCGGGGAACCCTGAAATTTACAGTGTATTACACACATTTACACTACACAAATTTACACGACTGCTTACAAGCAGGACCATCGAAACACTTGGCTTTAGGGGACTCAGGAAAGCTATTTTCTATTCCGTGAAAGGTAATCAGAAGGCACGCTTACTGTTGGCAAAGTTATGACTTACTATACCGAAGCACGCTTGTAGTGGAGACGTTTGAAAACAATGAATCTCGTATCCTTCATAGCGGATACTGACTAACAGTGGCTATGCTGTAAGTGGCTATGATAATGGGTTGGCACTTAGTTGATGTCGTTTTTCATTGAAGCCTATGTGAAAAGTGAGAGAATCTGTGCTGTACGATGGACAACTTTCCCGCTCTACACGCGGATGGGCTCAGTTCTTGCTAGATTTTCCGCAATTTGCAATCATCAAAAAGAAAAATCGTTGGTGCACAAAGGAAAGTTCTCAATTTGTTTTGTGCCTTACGAGGTTGATAGGTGGAACTATTTATTCAATATGGCCTAACGTTTCGACTGAATCGTCGTCATCAGAGGCCGACGGTTCCACCTTTTGAGCGACAGTGTCCGCTGGAGCGATAGTTAGTTGTAAAACTTCTGGCACTATATTTATTATTATTAGTATTTTCAACTAACTATCCTCTTGTGTGGCAGCGGACACTGTCGCTCAAAAGGTGGAACCGTCGGCCTCTGATGACGACGATTCAGTCGAAACGTTAGGCCATATTGAATAAACAGTTCCACCTATCAACCTCGTAAGGCACAAAACAAATTGAGAACTTCTATCCAAAATGCCGAGGTTGTAAGAAGAGAGAAGCTGGAGAATTCTACAAACGAGAGTTTTTGACAGCACTTCTTTGCACTTGGAGACAAAGCCCGCGACCAGACAATTTGGGTAGTGGTGCTGAACTAGCAATGCCAAGATGCCCGTTAAGCCAATAGTGCAATAAAGACAGAGGAAATGGTCGCAAATGCCCGCATTAAAATCCTTACGCGAGCACACTTGTACGAACAGAGGAATAAAGAGAGTGATCGAGATCACCGGGAGTGTGCTGTTGTGGTCGATGTGGATGCGCTATTGATCACATTTCCTGTTGTCAATAGTCTCTGGATCACTCCCAGTGATCTCGATCACTCTCTTTGCTATTCGCTATTCTTTAGCAGGTCTTCTATCATTTTCTTTAGAGGGTCTTCTATCATTATGGATAGCGGAGCGGCGGGCGGGGTCAATGAAAAGTGATCGCGCTAATGAAAGGAACGGCAATGTCTCCGCCTTCTGCGTCCTACCCCCCCCCCTTACCTTCGCTCTGCAAAAGTGGTGATCGCTGCCCCTGGCCTGTCTACCTACTCACGAAAGGAGAGGAAGATTGACTGACTGGGGCACTGCCTTAAATCTTGACCCTCGTTAAGCAAAAGCGGCTTCACACATTTGATGTCTATGACTAGAGGATTACGTCTGTTAAATCGGCCTGCAGCCGGTCCCATCGTTCAAGAGATGGCATTTCTTCTTTTGTACATCTCCATTGTATGGAACACCCCTCAGCGACTGCCTGCAGTCAACATGCTCCAAGTTCCGAAACTCTCCGATCAGGTAAATTTCGATGCTCAATGAGAATGTTGGAGTCTTCCAGGATCTCTACTAATTCCCTTTTCTTCGACAGGGGTCTCAGTGAATAGGCGAACTCAGTAAGCCGATCGAGCCTTATAGGGTAGCGGGTGCGAGCGATGCTTGTCTGCAAGGTCTAAATTGGAAATACCTGAATATCATTGAAAGTTTTGCGCCTTTTAAGATATATTGCTTTTTATCCATACAAACTACAATAGTGGTTCTGCGGTTTCAGCTCCCTAAATGGATGGACAAAGTCGAAGATGCTCAACTTTGTTGAATTGACACTAAGTTTAGGCAAATGGAGGCAGACTTTTCGATTGAGCAGCGAGACCTTCTGTTGAGCGGGTCTTCTATCAAACAATTTAGAATTCAGCGGTAACATCCCATCTTCATCACGAGATTTTAAGCTAGAAAAGCGCCATTGCTCGTGAGCTAGTCTAGTTGAAAACATTTGTTGTCCATTCTATTGTTCTGTCCGATATTAGTTTGTGAATGGACATTATTTGTAGTTGTGACTCATTTTCTATACAGTAGACTCTTCTGAATCCGCCATCACAACATTGTTTTAGCCAACCTTTTTTCTATAACTTTTCCAACGAAAAACCCTTGAAAGGTAGCATTAGTAGCTTTCGTATCGCTTTAATAGCACCTCCGCACATAACGAGTACCAATTGAAATTGGACAGTGTCAACAACGTACCATGACTAAGCTGCCAGCAGATGTGACCAATCATAATCAGACATGACGGTGTCGGCAGGAACTGCATATAGACGTAAATCACTGCTCCAATTACATTTGCCATACAAATTAATGAGGTTTGTATGAAAAACTAAACGAACAGAAGATTCAGCAAGTGACTCGATTCCTAATAGCGCAAATAGTTCCGCTGGATTCAGTGTTCCAAAATTCAGCACGTTATTTCGGCGCAGTTCGGCAACGGGGGAGGGGAGGCATTTTGTACTTTCATTGCTTCCCTAGTTCCGGTTTACAAGTCTCACTCTGGTGAAACCTGTGAACTCTTGTGAAGCTGGAGCAAGGTCGTCAAGCCATCATGGTAAAACCTGTCAACTCGAGAAGAGGCTGTCTAGATAGGTCGACACGTCGATGGGAAGTAGCGAAAGTGCAGAAATGCCCCCTCCCCGCCAAACAGCACCCTTTCTATTCAGATGAAAATGAAGAAATATGTAAGGAGCTAGTACATAAAAAAGCGTCCTAGTGTGAAACAAAGCCTCACGGATTTCTGTGCCCATAATAGTTTGCCGGATCCTCTCGAAAGACGTAAAAGAAGTCTTGAGTAGCACACATATAGTGAACATGTGATTGCAACTACGAGTAAATTGTTGACCGTATGCGGATAGTTGTGGAACTGAAGTGAAATGATGACAGAATAGGGTAGGACTCATTATTCGAGAACATGTTGAATTTTCAGTGTATATGTAATCACCTCCTCCAGTTCAGCGAAAGTTTTCACGTAGCACGTTGAAAAAAGCACACTTTATTTAATACAAGCTTACCACATATACACTCCTATGTACCTGACAGCTAACTACTTGATAGGGGTATGTGGCGATCCTATCGTCGATGATAAGCGCCGCGCTGGTGGGCGCCGCGTACGAGTCCTGCTGCGTCGTGCTCGTTGAAATTGTTAAAATGATCATCAAGCCATATTGTTTATGTTAATCCTGCTTGTCCCATTTTCCTATGATGATAAATGATTGTTTTTTCCGTATTTAAAAGTAAAGGGTGTAAGACTGGTCCCACGTTATTTGTTCAAAA